TTCCCTTTGGCTTTACTTGCAAGCCACCTGACAAGGAGGGAGTATTTTGTGACAAAGGAGTCCACTTTGAAGTGTCAACGTAGTTAAAAAGGGATGGTGACCTTGGTGGCAAAGAAGGACACAGGAAGGGTTGCGTGACCTTGCCAACAGTAAAATCACGAGGCTGGCTTTGCTTTGCTGATGAGTGGCTGGTGTTTTGTAGGACCTTGCCATTCACCTGTTTTTTTCCTCGATGTGAGCAACGTTCACGATGCTGAAGTCAGCGTTTCCAGGACCTTCTGGGCAAGCATACTTAGTTTTGCCTGACAACTTGCAGTAATTTATTTCTGCTGTTTGCAGGTGTGTAACCAGAATGCTCTTATGGCGCCGCCCGAGTCATCCTCTTTTTGCTCCAAGCGGGGCGGAGGATTTGCTTCCTGCCCGGAAGAGCGTAGAGGTGCACAGGTTTCAACTGGCAAAAACCTGCACGAGACGGGGATGAGGAGATGGAAGGAGGGTGTGGCAGTATCTCAGTGCGTCCCTCGGGGTTGATTCTGCTTGCCCTTCGTTTGAGTATCCAGATGGCCTGTGTGCACTCCCCCTACTGACTCGGTACAAAATAGTCCATTTGTTCATTCCCTAAAGGAAACCAAGAGAGGCTGGGTATGTTTAAACTTTTTGTGTGAGACTCTATTTAACACCCAGCTGAGGAAACCCTTCGGGAGTTCGCCGAAGACGGCCTGCGGACGCTGCTTCGGCGGCAGTTTGGGGGAACGAACCGGTTGGGATTCGATGGCTCAACGGAAGCAACAAGACGTGGTACTGCGATGTCGATGGAGCGCCCTGAAATGTTCGAGCTTCGGCCCCGACTCGCGGTGTCCTGCGACCTTTTGGAAGAGTTTGAAATGGGCGTCGAAGGACAAAGGCAACCAAAAGGAAGGGGAAGCCAAGCAAAGGAAGGGGAAAACCAATAGACGAATCGAGTTTTGAGGGAATCCCATTCACTGGGTCTTTTTCCTGTGAACATGTGTGACTCTTTTGGGAAGCCCATGCAAGCGGTGCCTCACCAGCCTTTGTGCGGTGAAATGGACCATCCTTGCGCAATGAGCACGACACACAGATTCGGAGTTTTGACCGCGTTGCGGGGCATGGGCCAAGTGACACCCAGCTTTCTCCTTTCGAGGAAGAAACACGCAACCAGAAAGCGGATGTCCTTGCTCTTCCCTCTGTTTAACTTGTTTTAGTGAACCAACAGGAAATTAGTTCAAGCAAATAGGTCGGCAAGTGAAATCGTGATCAGACCGACCACCCATGATGAAGGTTCCTTTCAGGTGTTTCGGCTCACAGCGACTCACCTCAGGCTTGCCCAGCCGGGGCCAGGCGACCTCTCCGCAAGAGGCGTTTGGCGTCTACCAAGCGGTGGTGGCTCCGTGGGGCGGCGTGTTTGGTTTTGCTTTTCTCGCCACCCCCGGAGTGCATCATTGCATCGACATGGCACGCGTGGTGCTCCGTGTCCTTGTGGACGAGGCCAAGGAATACTTCCGCAGAGCGTGTTTGGAGGCTTTGCCCTTCATCCACGCTACGGTCTGGACTTGGTGTGGGGCGCGCCTACTTCGTTGTGGTCTCGCTCAACGTTCGTGAAGCTTGCAGCCACTTGATCTGTCCGGGCCTGCCTGTGCTTTGTGGGGAACAGCGACGTGTGGGCCTGGTTGGCGTCTTCACTATGCACTTCGCGCTGGTTTCGGGTGAAGTTGAGGAACTTGGGGTTTGTTTGGGTTGCCACCCGTAATACTCCTTGGGACACCCCTTGAAGTTCTAGTCATGTTGTGTCATGTTGGTCTTCTTGGGAACTGCCAAATTCAAAAGGGTTATTTCTATACACTTTCAAGGTGGTTTGCGTGTGGGGGGGCGGGCCCGGCATGTTTGGGGTTTTGCCCCAACGTATTGACTGACGAAACACAAAAGCCACCAGCCCGAGGCTTTGCCTGGCGAGCCGCGAGCTCACCAAGGCCTTGGGGGCTTCGGCCCAGGGGATCCCAGTTTCCATCGGTGTTCTTGGTTGCCTAGCAAGGTGTCCCAGTGCCCTTCTAAAAAAGGGGTACCCTTTTTCTAACCCCTCTACTGGAGGACCTAGTTAGGTAGATGGAACTGGGAAGACTCCCCCACCAAACATTCAAAGGATGCAATCCCTCAAACCCAACTACCAGTAGAAAACAATTGTGCTAGATTCTACCGTGAATTTCCATGTCAGGGGATTTGGGCGCGTCCCAAAACAGTGCACCAGCTTGTCAAGAAAAACGACCAGACAGGAGAGGCCTAAATTCATTCTATTCTGAGAGACCCCCCATGTCTTTTTGTACCAAAGGGAATGACGGTGGTGCAACCTCAATTGAAGGGTCTCTGCCAGGATTGCTTTTAGCTGGAATGAATCTGGTAACCTGAGCCGGGCAGGCATAGGTCTCCTTTTTGGTTGTTTTGCTAGAAAAATAGATGGCCCTGGTTTACCTGGTGGTTTAATCATCTACCAGGGAAATCCATCTATTTCCCCTAAAGAAGCCTATGCGGGCAGGGAGTTCAAAAGTTTCACCAGTTCCGAGCGGTGTTCATTTTCCAGCATGACCAGCGAACCCTCCCCCCCGCGGTCAAACGCATCTGCGGATAGCTGTTGCATGGTGGTTGTTCGAACAATTTCCCTTCGCCTGTGCCCTCCTGAGGTTTTGTTGCATTCGTTTTCTTTTCCCCCGTCGCTGAGCGAGTGGCACCCCGTTTCCCTGTTGGCTTTTCCTTCGCGCAGACCAACTAAGAAGGCATGTCAGTCGTGGCAACGACGCTTCTCCAATTGACGAGCAAAAGGAGGTGGTCGAAATGCTTTGCGACGGAAGACCCATGGCGAAGGTGGCTTTCATGGCGTTTTCCATTTTTAGGAGTTGGTGAACGATGGTGAATGTCTACAATTAACTATTGATCCGGAGGACCGTACCAATGCGAGGAACTTGAAACAGGCCACTTCCACTTCCCAGGATCCATTCATCCCTTGGTAAAGGGGCTCGGTTCCTTGCGAACCGGTTGCATGAGTCTGACCATGGGGTTCCATGACAGAGAAACCGCCACACAAATCTCGCAGCCAGGACGAGGTGGACTCCTTCCTGGAGAAGTGGAATGAGGTGCAGCGGAGGGGCGGTCAGCATTGACTTGGCTTGGGGCAGTTGTTTACACCAGCTGTTGAACATGGGAGCAGACTTTGCCTTAGCCGGCCGTGTTTGTGACAGAGGCTTCAAATTTCAAGACTTCCTGATGGAAGACGGGGGAAGTTGGATATGCAGTTGGTTGAAGTTGGTTGGCAAGGTAGGTCTTTTGTTGAAGGCACCCCTTTCTGGACGGTTTTAAAGGCACGCCAAAAGGAACACCACCATTTTTGGGAGTCGCCCCAGATCGCCACACCCACATATCAGGGCCCCTGGTGTCCTCTCCTTTTGCTTCCGGATCCGATTCGCGAGGCGTCGATGGCCACACAGAACCGTGAGCAGAAGATGGACGAGGTCTCCGAGATGCTGGAGGCATCCCCGTGTGGCTTCGGTTCCTACCCTGGCCATGGGTCAAAATCCCGTACCCCCAGTGAACATCCCAAGCCCCACTAAAATAGGTTCTACAATGGGTGGTGCACCTACCTCAAAATGGTACCATTGGTTTTGACCCACAGCCACCTGGTTTCATCCATGGACCTTGGCATGTTGGGAGAGCCCCAAAGATCAATTTGGGGTGTTGCTCAGTTGGCTGTGTGAGGGCTCACGGTTTTTTGTTTCTACAAATTGGGGGTTGGGGGGTGTACCCTATATCTGAGCAGCCAGTTTGTGTAGGGGATGAGTCTGCGGATGGAAATCCTCATGACTTTGCAACCATTTGGAGAGGTCCCCATAGTATTTGTAGACGCACACAGCCTGAGGAGGACCCCCGAAAGGCATTGGTCCAGTGCAAAGCCGGCGTTGTTGCGTTGTTTGCGCGTTCCCACTTTTGTTTGGTCTTGGTGCGGCCCAGTTTGGAGCTTGCTATTCGCAAATCACGGGGCTGGCCCACCAAGCACATATAAATTCATATTCAAGGCAAACACTGAGCAGATCGCTTGCCGGTGCTATCGATGGGTGTGTGTGTGTGTGTGTGTGTGTTTTGAGTCGGTACCCTTTTTTGGCTTGTTTTAAAGCACGGACATCGGTCCCCATTTTGGGCTTCACCGATTTAGAGTACCCAAATACCTTGACAGTTCCTGCCCGACTTTGGGCCTTGCCGTTTGGAGAGCCGGCCTGGGGGTTCCACCACCTGATGTTTTTAGACTACAGGAGCACGGAAGCACGGAAGCCCCAAGAGTCCAGGGAAAGCGGCAACTTGGTTGACTGAGGCGCTTGTGGTTCAATCACAGGGACCGACCCGATCCAGATGTCATGCCGCTTTCATTTTGATACGACAGGTCTCCCTGTACATTCCTCCTTTTGGTGAGGTGGTCTTGGATGGCCAAGGACGGTGAGTCGAAACGGCCACCGGTTGCTTTCTCAGCTTGGGGTCCACCTTCTTCGAGGTTTGGCAAGGTTTGACACCCTTTTCCGGGTAGAACACAAGTGCTGAAACAGAGGGGTCCAACTTGATCTCCAGGCAAAAAACCGAATTTGTCAGGATTTAGGCCCTGGTTTTCTTTCTGGGAGGTGAGTTTTGGCCCCAAATGTGCTGAGGCTCAGGCCGCAAGGCTTGACGGGCCCCTGGCTTTCCTCTTCCCGGCGCAAACAGTCCCACCACCCATGTGTCTCAAAATGGGTTTAATTTTCACATGGCTGTGGGTCAGAAATAGGGTAACCCGAAAAAATGGGCTGCCCTGGTAAGTGGCATGGCCTAAAACCCGCGGTCCACTTCCTGGTTTAAGTTTGACCCATAGCCATGCTGATCTCCCAAGCAGCACGTTTTGTGACAGCCAGGTGAACCTGGTCGCTCGCTCAAGTTCCCGTGGGATGGTTCTCATTGCGTGAGGGTCCGGGATGGAGTGGCGGCAGGGCACTCCGCATCCGACTCTGCTCATGCAGTTTGTAAGCTTAGGTCATAGGGATCCACGCTCTCCGGTCAACTGCTTTGATATTGGGGGGGGGAGACTACGCCCATCCCACCATTCTCAAGGAATTTGATCCATAAGGCTGGCTGGAGGAAGGTAGGAACGCTTGTTGCGGGGCGGCGTCGGCCTCTTGAGCGACCTTGCTTGATTTTGTGCAGTCTCTTCGACTCCAAAGTCAGTCTGCTTCGGAGCTGGCCTTTGGGTTCAACTCCACAGTTGGACTGTTCAATGGCCCCCATCCTTTGGGGGTCCAGGCATCCTGTTGAGCGTCAACCAAAATATGGGGCCCCTTTTTGGCGAGTATGTTTTCTTCCAAGTCAGTTAGCTGTTCGATCCTTCGTGATGAACGGAAAATCCAGGTCAGGTTGGCGAATCATAAGGAATCAAGGCAAGGTCGTGCTTTGCAATTGCAGCAGTCGCTTTGTCTCCAAGCGTCTTCGACCAGACAGTGTTTACTTCAGATTGGTCAGAATGACAAAGCGGTTTCCTAAATGGGGATACACCAAAATGAGTGGCTTTCCTTCGGTGTTTTTAAACAACCCCCCGCTCCCAAATGGTACCCTTCAAGAAAAATTGCGCCCAGAAAATGGACTCAGGATGAACTACTGCAAGGGGAAGCTCTGAATCAAGGAGTTGCAAATCAAAAAGGACATCATTGCCCAAGAATCATCAGCTTGGGGTTCCATTTGCATTTCTTCTTTTTAACTGCCGCATGCTTTGCTTCCCTGGAAGTCAACATGGAATCGAAAAGGGGTCCCCGCAAGGAGGTTCCTCTTCAATTAGATCATTTGTGGGTTTCATGTTGATCTGCAGGAAGCTGTTTGTTTTGTTTTTCGTGCTGAGGTCATGAACGGAATCACCGGCATCGAGGACCGACTTCAGGATGATGTGTCTGACACCATCATGAAGATGACGCAGGCGGAGCGGCGCAGATGCGCGTGCATCATGTCTTGCCTGCTGGACTAGGTTCCTTCCGACCTGAGTTAAGAATCACAAGAGCTAGAATCCACTTCTCTCCCTCTCGCCCTACTATATGACATATGCCCATAGATTCCCAGCGTCAGCTCGGCCCACTGAATCCGCCTTTCTGCAAGTACCAGGCTATGATATCAGCCGACAACCAAAAAACCACCAGGGTCTTCTCCGTGCTCGGCGAGCCTCTGTGAGGCGTTGAGCAGAAACCGTCTCTGGATCTGGGCTCCGGTGCCTTTTTTTGGAATCGCACATGTTGAATCACGCCTGGGGGGGTCATGGTGTCTGAATATCAACCACCTGGGTACTGCTTTCGGGTCCAGGTCTCAAACACGTCCTCCAGAAGGGTTGAAACCAATTCTCTAGGGGGTCATTCCCCATTCTTTTGAACCATCGTTCTTTTCAACAACTAGCTGTTTTGCCTTGGTTCTGATGGTTTTCTGGAAAAAAAATCTTTTACCCACGAGACACTAGACAAGTGGCCATGGGTCAGAACCCCATACCCCAGTGAACATCTCAATTTCCAGTTTGGAGAAGTTCAGAAGACCGGTTCAGACATCTTGGAAGAACACAGAGTGAGAAGTCGCCTGTTGCCTCGCCCCAGGGGTCCGGCCAAAGCAAAACACGAAGCTGGAGATTCCCTCCCGTTCCCCCTCGGGCAGCTCGTTGGTTTGACCAGTTTTCAATGGATTCTCAGTTTGTCTGTTTTGGCCCCTGGCCCCCACTTGACCGTGCAGCCAGGGCAACTTGCGAAACTGGATACCTTGATTTGAGAATGCTATAGCAGGGGCCCGGTTTGGCTTCTCAAACTACCCCTACCCAAATTGCTTCAGGGTGAGAAAAGCTGGGTTTTGTTTTTCCCCAACAAGGCTTTGGGGTATTTGGAGTGGGTGTGTGTATTGGCTTGGGGGTACGCACCCTGGCCCCCCATTCAACCAGTTTATCACCACAGGGAATGCGATGGGTAAGTGGTTGACCTTGGAAATCCGTGAACGGCCAAGTGTAGGACTCATCATCTTGGCTTGACTTTGCCCGAAATTGATTTGTGTGGGGAGCGGGCGCCATTTTTGACTATGTTTTTCCATCAAAATGTGTCTCCTTGTACGAAGATTGTGCCGAGAGCTTTTGCAATCTTGATGGGTATCGCCAACCCTTGGGTGCTGGGTGCTGCTCATATGTCGTATTCGAACAGTTGTCATTGTGACTTCAGTGCTGATTGACTCTCATCAGCCACCACTATCACCATGACACCATCCCACCACCATCCCACCACCATCCCACCACCATCCCACCACCATCCCACCACCATCCCACCACCATCCCACCACCATCCCACCACCATCCCACCACCATCCCACCACCATCCCACCACCATCCACCATTCCTTCCCACCAGTCCATCATACATACATACATACGTACGTACGTACATACATACATTACAGTACAGTACAGTACACTACACTACACTACACTACATTTAAATTACATTACATTACATTACATTACATTACATGCATTGCATTGCATTGCATTGCATTACATTACATTACATTACATGCATTGCGTTGCATTGCATTGCATTGCGTTGCGTTGCATTACATTGCATTGCATTACATGCATTGCATTGCATTGCATTGCATTGCATTGCATTGCATTGCATTGCATTGCATTGCAATACATTACATGCATTGCTTTGCATTGCATTTCATTGCATTACTTTGCATGCATTGCATTGCATTGCATGGCATCGCATCGCATCGCATCGCATCGCATTGCATTGCATCGCATTACCATACATACATACATACATACATTTGCATACATACATACAAACATACACATGCATACATAAATACATGCGTACGCACGTACGTACATACATACCATATCATACCATACCATGCCATGCCGTGCCATGCCATGCCATGCCATACCATACATACATACAGAAAGACAGACATACATACATAAGAGGGAGAGAGGGAGGGAGGGAGGGAAGGATGGATGGATGGACGGATGGATGGATGGAAGGGATGCGGTGGGCGGGTGGATGGGTGGATGGATGGCTTATTTATATCAACAAAAGCAACACAAAACACACCGCCCCCATGCCAAAAGCATGGTCCATTCTGGACCAGGCATGGGGTCGGCGGATTTATCTTCCAGGTCCCCCGGCCATCCCCCAATGGGCTCGTTGTGGGTGGGAGTGGTTTGGGGTTGGTTATTGGCCCGGGGTTAGTCAAGGGTTTGGTAAGTTTAGAATGAGTTTGGGGGTGTTGGGCCCCTGGGCTGTCCGAGAACGTTTTTTTTTTGCGTGTACATATTGTTTTGATGCTGGGGTAAAGTGAATGAGCCGCTTGGCGCGCTTGTGCTGTCTGATGCAAGGCGGGCATCAAGGTTTGGATGCTGACGGGCGATAAAACGGATCCTCGGCAGAAATTGCAGTGGCGAGCCTGCAGTCCGCCATGACGATGTCCTCGTTGGGCAAGGTTCGAATCCAGTCAAGCCTTCGATGTGAAACAGCCCTTTTGAGCACAGCTCAATGGGCAAGAGATAGTCAAGCACCTTCCAAAACCCACAACCATCAGGGTTCAATTCCTGGCGTTCGCTTGATGTTCTTGGGCCCTGGCAAAAGAAGGCAGGTTATCCCACGCGTCCGTTCTCGGGGCGGTCCCTGATGTCAGCTGGGGTCTCCTTCAAAAGGGTTTGAGATATTCTAGGGTAGCACTTCGTTTCCCCAAACCAGTGTGGCAAAGTGGCCAGTTTTGAGCAACCGAATGAATGTTGGAGAGATGGCCAAATCACGAATAGACTGTGCACAGTCCTGCCATCAAAGTACAGCTCTGCACTAGTCTTTGCACTCTGTGGCAGAACCGCGTCCGTGGTTTGTGCCCAGGCAATCAGCCGCGGCTGATCCTACCCAGGATTAAGTACGTGAAAGACAACGTTCCTAATCGACAGTGACTGCGCAAGTCAAAGTGATCTCACCGTGAGAGAATCGAGCGAGAAGATGTTCTGCTTTACGATGTCCAGTTTGTGCATGAACTGTATTCGATATATGCAGGTGATGTTTTCACTAGCCTACGTTTGTTGCCTTCAGTCTCCCACTTACCGATTAGGGGCGTTCAATGCCTTTGTGGATAATAGGAACCTTTGCCAGTTTGGAGGCATGGTTGCTCTGACCTCTGCACCGGTCAACGAAAATTGAGCCAGACTGGAATGAGTGGAATCCATTAGTTTCAAGTGACCAGAAGGGACACCTAACAACCCTGATCACGGTTGCTACCTTGTGGCGTTGAGGAGTGAAGCATCAGGCTGAACGCTTAGCAAGTTTTTTGTGCGTAGTTGTTGTATCACGCATCAGGTTCCTGTTTTTGTGTTGCGGCCTCCCCCCCGAAACCTTTTCTTTTGCTAGCCGGCTCGGGGCTTAGCCCCGGCCAGGTGACCGGTTGGTTGGGTGGGTGGGTGGATGGGTGGTTGGTAGTCGGCTGGGCGGCCGCATCACCGGCCTCGCTCGGACTGGGGCTGCCTATTGGCTTTGATTTGGTGGCAGTTCAGAGGGCTGGTTTCGGGCGAGTGTTGGGCTTGCTGCGGTCTTATATAGTGAGAGCAGCTGATTTGCTCGAGGTGTGCGGCTCGGTTTTTGCATGCTTCAGGGCGTGGTTATGCATTTTTTGGGCTGGTTTGGGTGGTTTGGGGGAACACCCAACACTCGCCCGAAACCAGCCCTCTGAACTGCCACCAAATCAAAGCCAATAGGCAGCCCCAGTCCGAACGAGGCCAATGATGCTGGGGATGCGGCCCACCAACCCGACCCCCAACCTGGCCACGCAAGGTTCCCAGCCAACCTCTTTAGAGCCACATGAGGGAACCGCCTCAACCTTCCCCCACCCGTTTGGGCCCTCAGCCCCGCTCTCAGGAGACAGCCATCAACATTGGTGTGGCCACAGGCCTGCTGGCCGCTGAGCAGAAGGCCTTGGAGCGGCCCATGCGTCTTGGCCGGAGAGAGCTGGTTCGGTTCGGTCACAGGTCGCTAACCCGCAAGGCATCCAAACAGCTGCCAGGGATGTGGCAAGCCTTGCTGCTGGTTGGAAGGGAGCTCCTTGGAGGGAACCAAATTGATCCGCGCTTAAAGAGAGGGAGCTGAGGAGCTGCCAGTTCTGCAAGGACACGGTCACTTGTGCTTCCTGTTTTTGTTGTTCTTCTCCATTTCCACCGTTCGCACGTTGCAGCCACTGCCATGGGCGTTGAGCGCGCAACGAGGTTCTCCACAGAGAACTTTGAGAAGGGCGGAGCTTTCCAAGCGCAGGACACCCAAAGTTTGCTCTCCCAAGGCCCCACAGCAACTCTTGGCGTTCCATAGTAAGCTTCCATTGGTTAAGAATATGTTTTGGTTTTCCCCTGTTGGGGTTAAAGGGAATCGATCACTACTGGACATTTTTTTTTGTTTCCAGGGGACTTAAGCAAATGGAGCCCTTACTTGCAGCTTTCTTACGTACAGCCTTTTGGAGGGACTTATTCGGAGGCCAGCCCGAAACCAGGGAATTTACATGGGGATTGGGATCATATAATGTTGACTCTCTCAAGAGCAGCATCTCTCATGACCTCTTGTTAGCCCTTTTGGAATCGGACAAAAGTCATCTCCCAAAAGGGGGCGTGCATCGAGCCATGTTTGTTGGTGACATGTTGGCAACTGTTTCCTCGCCAACATGCACGCTGAATGATTTTCTAGACAAATTGAATCTCAATGTCGCCAACCGGTTTTGGTTTGCGAGCTTAAATCAGGACAAAGGTTCACAATGGTTTATGGATGAGTAAATGCTCACCGGGCAGACATGCGACCCTTGTTGGCACTGCAAAACCGCAGCCCGAATACGTATTGAATGCATATCACTTTTGGCATCTTCTTCCCGCGGGGCTGAAGCACCTTGGGCCCTTTCAGATTTCACCCGGTTGCAGGGTTTCCTCTCCTTGGGCGAGAATCTGCGGGCGAAAGCCAGAACCCTTCGGATGGGCACCCGGGCTTTCGCTTGCCCTGTCACTCTTTTGTGGGCCTTCAAAGTTCCCCATCTGTCTGTTGGATGATTTGAAGCACCTTCTTGGCCCATTTGAGGCGGCACGGCGGGTGTCTCTTGGTAGGCACCGTAGGCAGTTTCTCGCGGGAAGCTCATGGGATCCCTTGGTTGCCAGGAGCTCCAGACGAAGCTCAGGGAAGTGGCTGAGCAGGCAGGGATGGGGTGGGCCCGGGTTTCGTGCAATGGTTCTACCCCCGTAACCTCCAAATACCCGGCCTTTTTTGAGGGTGTCATGTCGACCCTCTACTAAAAAACGAGGCATTTACCATGGAAAACCAAGTTTTCCCCCAAAAATACCCTGAAAACAAACGGGTATTTGGAGTAGGGGGTAGGGGACACTTCCCCATTCTTTCCAGGGATCCGAATCCTTTTAGAAAACCATCAGAACCCCAGGGGAAGCAGCTGGAAAGAATGGGGAAGCAATCTCTACAATGGTCAGAAGACCTTGGGTTACTGAGAGGCATTGACTTGCTATTCGGTACAGGGGAGCATCGCGGACCAGTTACCTTGGGTTGGGGATGGTCATGGACCGCTTAGGGATAGACCGTCGTCAGGGTTCCTAGGCAGCCATGACCATGAGCCTCATAAGGAGGTTTCAGCATGTTTTGAAGAACACCCGCAACGAACAGGGACATGTTTGGGTCCTAGTATGGCAAAGCCTTGGGAACCAAACGTGCGGAGGAAACCAAAAGGTCAGATGCCAGAGTTGCAAAGGAACTCCACTGCATCGGACGCCCGGAACGATTTTTGCCAGGAAGTTGTGGAACCGCCCGACCTACCCTTTCATGAAACCCTTCCACCTGCAAGGGAAAACATATTTTGCAGCCATGCAGGGAGCTCGCCCGGGTATTCGTGAGGGGAAGGATCCTTGTGCTGCTCGTCAAAAACCGGGCCTGAAGAGGTCAAAAGGCTGAGAGCCGGCACAACAGGAGACAAAACAGAAGCATGTGCCATCACCGCCTAGGACCCTTTTTTGGGGGAGGGTTCCCCTACTAAGACTACAGAAAAAAAGGATACCCTTATTCTAACCTCTCTACTGGAGGATCTAGATAACAGCTCTACATTTCAGTTTCCAAGTTTCGCATTGCCCATTTTGCTTATGAAAGTAACTTAGGTGCCTGAAGCCGGCTGATGGGGTGACTTTGACGGCGAAAGAACAGCCAGTCACGCTTCGCCCTTGTTTTGAGAAAGCAGCATCTCGGAATTATATAGACCTCCCGAAAGCTCGACGCGTCCAGCAAATCGCCGCCAGGCGCGACAAGCCTATCAGCAGAGCCTTGGTATGCCATGAATTTGAGGGCATCAGGCAGATAGCTCTGCGATTCGTTAGTCAATGCCGGGCAAAGCATTCGGTTTGACTCACAAACCCAGAACACCTTCTGGGTATCTTTGTGGTTCTGTCATAGACCAAGAACAAAAAGGGAAAACATGTGTTCCGTGTGACTCTCGCGCTTTGCTTTTCGGCGTGAAAGAACCCAGGGTTTCTTTTGTTTCAATTCGCAAAGGTAGACGCAGCCAAGGGATGCTTGATTTCCCCAGAAGAAGCACCCCCTCATTTAAGTTTGCACTGGGGCAATCAAGCAACGGAAGCCTGCCCGGCATATGTTGTCCGGCAGATGAACCTCCTAGATTTGTGGCTTGGATCTCGAAACGCCTTTGTAGCATAGTTTAAGGGAACTCAACAAACATTTGTGTCCAAATGGGACCCCTAGTTTTGAGACAGAACCTACCAGCTTGGCATTTCTTGAATGAGAAAGCCCAGTTAGACAGTGTCAAAGGAACCAAAAGGACTCCGAACCGCAGCGTTTGGTGACGCGTTTTCAGTTTTCTGAGTTCCCAAACTAAGTGTTTGGACGTAGTTAAATTTTGGGAGATCATTTCAGTGGCAAGCAACATTTTTTCTTTATGTCTCAATACCTATCGCCTATGTTTGGTGGTCGAACTTTGCCCTATTTGGTCGACTTGTTGGTTTTGTCCATTTACCAAACTCCCCCTCCCCCGGATACAACCCCGCAAGGGTCAGGAGGTAGTTGAAAGATCCATCACAGGGTAGCAAGGGACTCTCTGGGACCAGGGTCAGAAGCGACTGGACATGGTGGAACATCACCCTTTCTGCAATACTGGGTCATTCCCACCCAAATTATCATTTTGAGGATTCAATCACAGAAAGCGGCAACTACCATCGAATCCACAATCCACGGTTAGGGGAGTGTTTCAATCAGACCCTCTTCCCCTGGATCTTGTTCGTTGTTTTGGGCTTTGCCTTACCATCCCGAAAAGGAACACTCCCCCTCCCAAGAATATATATATACATATAACGAAGAAAGAAAGAAAGAAAGAAAGAAAGAAAGAAAGAAAGAAAGAAAGCAAGCAAGCAAGCAAGCAAGCAAGAAAGAAAGAGCAAACAAAAACAAGCAAACACAAACAAACAAAGAAACAGAGACAAACAAAACACAAAAACAAAACCCAACCCCCTCTTTGGGTTGCTGCCCAAAACGGGGGTGGGCGCATCCTACCAACGACGTCCCGCTTGGCTCGCTGCCTCGCTGTGCCTCGGCTCAGGAAGCGCATGTTCGAGGGCATGGTCATCGACGGCAAGTGCCTGGAGCTGGCCCTGGAGCCCCACAATCAGAAGGACACAAAAGCCGACGCGACGGCGACGGAACAACCCCCCCGGTTGAGAACAAACATGGACGTTTTTTTGTGTGTGAAAAAACACGTGGGTGTTTATATGTTTGTTTGAATGAACACCTCATGCTCATGGCATGAGTGTTGTGTGTGTTGTGTGTGTGTGTTGTGTGTGTGTGTGTTCCCCAGCAGCCGAAAGCTTTGGCGTCTCTGCCGAGATAGGCTCCGGGGTGGTCCGGGGCGGCTATGACGTAAGGTTCCGCAGGGTTCCGAGGAGAAAAGTCACTCCAGTGGTGGGACAAACAAAAAGCTGATTAGGGACACCCTTCCCAAACACCAAGAAGAAAGGGTGCCTGGGCCACTGGGCAATGCTGGGCATTCGATTCCCCTCCCTTGCCATTTGACCCCCAAAAGGTTCGTGAAGCCGACTTTGTATCATTTTGAGGCTCGGACCTTCTGGGCATGAATGTAGTTAGTGACCCAAAAATGGTGGGCGTAATTTTTAATTTCGGCGGGGCTTCCAATTTGGGTACATTGGGTTTTGCCAGAGCAGCTGGCGGCTTTGGGGTCTCTGCTCAGGCTTCGGAGAGGCTCGGAGTTTTTCAGTGACACCCTTTTTCCCCTTTTTTTTTGTTGGTGACTGCCCAACTAAAAATGGTCTTCCCAAAAAAGGGTTCCATTTTTTTCCAGGGTCACTGAACAACTGAGTAGTCCAAACAGCGATACCACCACATTTCGGCAGCACGTGTGGCTAAGAACGCACCTAACGACCATGGGAAGAGTGGGTGGGCGTGTTGTCCTACCAACTTTCTACCACTGGTTCAGTGGCAGCCTTGGAATCCCTTGGGTTTAGGACCGGGCCTCTAATTCTTAAGCCAGGGACGCTGGGTGAACAGCCAAAGGAACGGAATCTAGATCCGCCCAATACCCCCTTTTACCAACTTGTTTTGGGGAGGGTTCCCCTACTAAAATAGACTACAGAAAGAAAGGGTTCCCTTATTCTAACCTCCATCACTGGAGGACCTAGGAATGGTTCCGTGGGGTTTTTCTTTTTCGGCTCAGCCCTGTCGAGGGAACCCCAAAATTGCAGAAGTTCAGGGCAGGGGCATGGGAATGGGCGGCTGGCACCAGGTTTCAACGGGAGCAGTGGCCGACTTGGAATTCAATAATTTTCCCAAAGTTAGAGGATGGATCGGATCTTTACAAGTTGTAGACATTTACTAGGAGATCCATTCCCCTATTTCTTTTCACATTCTCGTTCCCTTCCTCAATCTCAACCTCATGGCATATGAATCCTGAGATTGGGGTAAGAGAATGGGAAGAAGAGCTGGTCAATGTGCTTTCTAAATTAAATTTCAGCAAGAAAATGCCAGTAGAACGGGAATGGGGAAAGGGAACACGGGAGAGAAGCGACTTACAAAGAATTAATTGCTTCTCTCACTTTCGCTATGCCTCAGAGATGAGATGAATTCTAGATGTGGGAGTACAAGACAGACCCATTTTCATTCGCTATCACCTGGTTGTCTTCTTCCTCCACACCCACTCTGCATCAATCCAGTGATGGATTATAGCGGTTGGGTGAGCAGGGCGAGAAGACTAAAGGACAGGAAATACATGACAGGAACGGACACAAGTGATGTCAATCAGTATGAATAATAGAGATGACAATTAGTGAGGAGTGAATGAGAAGATGAAGATAGATATTGAGCATGAAAGAAATACAATAAGCAACTAATAGCTGACAAAGGCAGATATTCCAATCATTTGTACGGGATAATCTCAGACAGGTACAGCATAGAGAGATGCACTATAGATACGATGTAGCAAATCAGTGACCTGGACTTTGTTCAAATGTTGTCATGCTTCATGTTGGTCAATTGGTAAGCTTCAAGCTTGTTTGGACCGGGCTTCCTGTATATAATTTGGTGGTCGTGTCGGTCCAGCCACTCCAAGGAGATTTGGGATCGTTTTGCGTGGAAGTACTTGCAACATGGACCTCGGTCCTTTTCGCTCCCTGCACACTCAGAGCCCCTGCTAGCTGGTGCGAGAGCGGGTCCTTGCGGTCGCCACGCCAATCATTTCGCCCCAAGACCGTCCATCCACGCACAGCTGTTTGAGAGACCTCCAGATGGCGCTTGGATTTCCGTTCAAGACTTGCAACCAAAAGGCTTCCCCAAAGCAAAAGACATGAAAGCCGGCGAAGCCCTCGGTCCTTTCGGTTTCCCTTTCGGACTCCCACAAAGGCTGCCGCAAGAAACGCCCGCGGCCTTTTCCGCGGATCTCCAGGACTTTGTGGCCATTTGCCGCAACTGCTCCACGGCGCCTTGGCCACCGAGGGCTGCGAATGGGCCCGTTGATTGTTGCTCGTCTTTGGAACTGCCTCCCCTTGTGTCTTGCTGGTGCGATAGGTAGGGAGTGACGTCTTTGGAGTTGCCTCCCACCCGGTGCGATAGGTAGGGAAGGAGAAATGGAGTGAACCTGGGGATCCCCTTAGAGGAAACCACCAGTTGGATGGTTTACAAGGGTCATTCCATTTCTCATTCCCTGCATGTTTTGTGCGAGTAGCTAGTTTCTGGAACCCTGACAGATACGGGGGCGGACGAGTGTCCATGCTCGAAAGCAAACATTGCAGTGACTCATGCTGCCATTTGAAAGGTGTCGCCTTGAAACGGTGTAATTTGATTGGGCGGAAGATGTACTGACGCCGAAACAAGCAGATTCCATGGATTGAAATTGTAGAGATCTCGGAAAGGTGTTGTTTTGTGTCTGAAACGCACTGAAGGTTCCGTTCTTGGGATCCCTCATTTCAGGTTGGCGGATGGCAAATTTGAAGTCACTCGAATCATGACATCGCAACGGCACTGTTGGTGCCCTCGTGTGTTTGTCAGGCTACCCTTTGTGGATGTCTTGGGGACGGTTTGCCATGGGTGTTGCTCAGTGCGTCGTAAGGTGGCAATCGAGAGATGGCCCTCAGGGGGTGTTTCGGTCCAAATTGGTCCAAATGCGAGCCACAGGAAGATTCCACTTGTGTCGGTTCGTTGGGAATCGGGTTCCCTTTAGCATAGGCCCAACTGGAGTCCTTTGTGGGCGTGTGTGTTTTCTTTTTGGGCCCTGGTTGATTTTAAAGGGGGAACCAAAGGAAAGCCACCATTTTGGGATTTGGGTCACGGGAGCCCACTGGTTCAGGTCATTTGCTGCCGGGTGTCGCCCAAGCAGAAGGGCGCCGTAGTTCGCCTCATCAAGCAGGCGTCGGGGAAAAGGGATCCGGTCGGACGCCCGGGAGGTTTCTCAAAATGGAACCGTTTACCGCAAGGAAAAGACAGTTTTCTAAGGGTTGCTTCCCCATTCTTTCCAGGGATCCTTCTTTCTAGAAAACCACCAAACAACCCTGGGATGACAGCTGGTTTTTGGAAAAGAACCATGGTTGGAAAGAATGGGGAATCAACCCCTAGAAGTTTTCTAGTGGTCCCCTATTTTGAGACAGGTCCATGTGGGCCAAAGACCACCATGTCAACTTTGGGCTGGAATACTAAACTGAAGGAACATCAAGTTGAACTATATAATTTGGAGTTGCTTTTCGGGTGTCCCTGTTGGAGATGCCTCTTTTGGGTTTATTTTAAGGGAAATCAAACGGAAGCCACCCATGTTTTGAAGCTCCTCCAAAGACATTTCAAAGGTCGTGGCTCAGTCCGTTTGTGGATATCCACGATACATTCTGCTGTGGAATAGAAAGCTCCCAAATTACAAGCCAAAACTGCAGCATTCAACAGGTGCAGTTGCTTAGGAAATTCACCAGATTCACTTTTAGCTGCTGACTGTGTCCATGAATCGTCGAAGTCAGACATGTGGTCACGCATTTCCTCCACTTGGCTAGCTTAAGGTTGGGCACAAATGTTTGACCAAAGCAGAGTTGGGCATGCGGCAATTGTTTTGGGACGAGGCATTGTTTTGAAGGTACTTGAAACTGTGCAGAGGTCAGAGCCAAACGGTAACCTGGGCATGTGTCAAAATTGGCGGACAAGGTGGCTTCCCCTATTGTTTTCCTTTTAACTAACTCGAAAAGGGTACCTTCAACAAAAACACCCAAATGGGTGTTGGTCAAATGGCTATCCAAAATGGAACTCCGTTAAATGGAACCAAGGACAACAAAATATGGTGTCCCCAACTGGCTGTCAAATGCGCGGTTCCGGGTCCTTTTTTTCTGGTTTGCTCGCGGTGTTTTGCGCTGCCAGGAGGAGAAGGCGATCACCCTGGCCATTGGCGCCTCGGAAGCTTCGCATTCCCTGCTCGCACCAGCGGGGTCATATGGCTGTGGGTCAAAACCGTTTTGGGATCCCATGTTGGGGTAGGTGAATTCACCACCCATTTTAGTCCCATTTTGGTTGGTAGGTGAATTCACCACCCATCTTAGAACCTATTTTAGTGGTTGGATGGAATCGGAGGTTCGCTGGTACGATTTGGCTTTCGCTTTCCCATGGTCATTTGGGCCCAGTCCCATGCACTTGCTGCAGCAAACCACCCCAGAACATGCTCCAAGAGTTCCGAGAACAGCCCTGGAAAAACATCAACACGGACCATACCAGCGCCATAATTTCAGGGGTGACTATCATAAGTTGAAGTTTCAACGTCAGGCTCCAGGTTGGGTGATCAGAGGCTCTGCACGTTTTTTCTGGGAACCAGCATACTCAGCCCCGTTCCACTCGTTTGAACATGTGAGCGAAGCCCCTCTTTCATCAAAGTGGTCAAGTCATGGAGTGAAGATGTTGAAGTCGAGGTTTGCCTCTTTGAAACCCTTGGGAAAGTAGAGGGCCCGCCCGAAGGGTGTGAATCTTATAGGTCCCTTCCCGTGTGAAGGAAAACCGCTGGTTTTATGACGGCCAAGGTGACGGCGCCAACGACTGCAACATGATCATGCGCCTTGGATCAGAACCAGACTGCGCACATCAGGGTCTTCTTAGGGTGGCGTACTCCTTTCCCGGATGGGTGAACCTTTTAATGTTTTGGTGTCTGCAACGGGGCTTCATTTTAAAAACCCGCAACTGCAACAGTCGGACGGTGCGGGTTTGGGCAGTTGCGAGAGGCATGTCTTATTCCGCCAGTTTCATGAGCAAGTTGCTGTTGCCCACAACAGCATGATGCCATTTCGCATAATGTCGATGACCGGTCCGGAAAAGTTGCTCCTGGACCACAGGGGTCCTTCCAAATATGTCTGCACGGGGTTTATTTGTTGGGAATGGTAGTATTTTGTTGAACGTGTATCACAACTTTCAAATTGGTTTCCGGGCCACGCTGCATCAAGGGCTATGCTGTATGTTGCAAACTCTGTAGATGTCGAAAGGTTAGATGATTCTCTCCAGACGGGCAGGCTCTGTTCGACCTATATATGTGGAGGACAATGTTTGAGACATGACTATGTTTATCTTTTGTCATGTGTAATTGACTTTGTTAGGCCTCAAAGGACGATGAAGTCCCGTGAAAGTAGTCGGGGGCCTTTGGTGGGTCTCAATTCATTGGTTCTACGTCAACCCCAAGGCTTCCGTCCATGATCTGAGGTGTCTCTCAATTGGACATACCCAACCCGGGCATCCTTTCCTCCTTTTGAGACACACCAGGAAGCAAACATCAAGCAACAAGACGGACAGAAGACAAAGAGCTCCTTTGACATGAAAAAAACGCGCCGTTTTGTTTTGGCCTTCGAGCGAGCCTGGCGTTCGCTTGAAATGTCAGGAGCGCAGATGTGGGCATTGGCATCCGCGGGCTGGAAGGCATCTGACGCGACAAAGTTGGTCTTTGGGTGCGAAATAGCAGCCATTTGTGCTCAAGCTTTCCAAAGGAAGCTGAAAAGGGATGGCTAATTGTTGATGTGCTTTCAAGGGAAAGCCAAGGGAAGCCAATAGAGAGTGGATCACGAATAAAGCTTAAGGTCGCCTGCCAATACCCCAAAAGGAATTTGGATGCTTGCCCATATGTTCGTGCTTGACGGTACTCAGAAACAATGTATGCAGAGGGTGGGGCGCTTTTTGTCCCAGTTCAGGTGGGGATACTGTGGGGTCCTTGTATTTACCTTTTGGGGTTCGATGACAGGTTGCCGAGTATACGTAGTGGAGCTTCCTGTTGACGGGATGATGTTCGGAAGTGACACGTACGGAACCCTGTTGCTCGCTGAATCCCATGTCTCCTGGGGCAGACTGGATATAGAAAAACGCGCTGTTTCGTTGGGCCCCTTTTTGTTTGGTATCCAATGCCAGTTTCGTTCAGACCGAACAAGAGGAGTCGGCAACATAGCAACATGGCAAACTTTAACAACATTGTACGATTCGCATAGCGTGGCTTCCATCATCTCAATCTAAGTCCGATCAGGCACGTACAAGTGTTCGTTCTCAATAGGCAGGCTATGAACCCAGTTGAGGCGTTTGCCTTCAAACACTCATCCATTGCAACAATTGCAAGGTGGGACATCTTGATTTCCCCCTATCAGATCTAACTTTTGCAGGGGAATACCATGTCTCCTCCCGAAGCCTTCTCGCGCCCGCGCGTGGCCAGTTCCTCCTGAGAAACCCCCCTGACGCACACATCTTGTTGAGACCTCGCAACTTCACCCAGGATCACAGGTTTCTTGGTGAATGAGCTATTTGCCATTGGCTGGTTCGGCAGCAGAGCAAGTTGTTTCAGAGGTGCGTCATATTTGGTTCTAATTGTATTGCAGCACTTTGGTCAATATGACCCCCTGGGCATTCTATTTCTGATCGCTTTCATTACCGTGCTTCAAGCCCCGAATCTCTCGATCCATTCCGAGTTCCCCATGTTTGCGCAAACACCCCATCTACCCACAGAAAGCAGAGGCTGGATTTATCGAGTTGGAGATCCGCGGAGGATTTTGCCTTCTCTTGGCAGTTATCAGTCCCTCTTGGCGCGAAAGGTGACCTGGTTGAGCCAGGGTCGAAAGCCATTGAGAACTCTTGCGCATCCGATTCACTTTTTCGTGGTAAACAGTGAGGAGGGGAATCCGAATCTCACTTGGGTGTGACAACGGCGACGTCACTAGGGTTGCGACGTCAAGATGAAAGTTCCTTTCTTGGAAGTCCCTTAAGTTCGGTTGACGCATTTTTAAGGCAGATTGAACATCGCTTCTGAACATCAATTGTGGGTGATGTTGCAGGAGGCAGTGCAGGGAGCCCATTCTTGCCCTGCTCCCCCCCCCGTTTCGTTCACGTTCGCGCAGGTCTGCAGGCCTTCAACGTCAGCCGCGGCCACAGCTTCCGGCGGTGTGTCGCGCTGCACTCCCTGAAGCCAGAGCACTTTCCGCAAAGCACAGAGTTCATGTGGACCCCACATGAATCAACCAGAAATTGAATCTTGACCACATATTAATCAACCCGGAATTTTATGTTGACCCCATAAATTAATGTTGACCCGAAATTTTATGTTGACCCCATAATTAATCAACCCGAAATTGTATGTTGACCCCATAATTAATCAACCCGGAATTTTATGTTGACCCCATAAATTAATGTTGACCCGAAATTTTATGGTGACCCCATAATTAATCAACCCGAAATTGTATGTTGACCCCATAATTAATCGACCCGAAATTTTATGTTGACCCCATAAATAAATGTTGACCCCATAAACTCATGTTGACCACATGACTAATGCTTATTTGGGGAGTGTCCGATTCTGGATTTTGCGGGGCACCTTCACACCACAGTTGGCTTCTATGACGTAAATGTTGAATGAGATCGCCGGGCACACGTTCAATCGTGCGGATGCGGAACTTGAAGGTATCGAGGACAAGCTTCTTGGAAGAACGCAGGGACCGTCAAGATGTTGGCCCTCTCGTCTCTTCAAGTATCCGAATCTCTGCGAATGCTGATGCCAACTGAGTCAAACCAAAAGCCAGGTGAAGAAAGAAGAAGTAGTGGGATCACCAATCAAAAGTGAATTTAGTCCATCTAATTTCGGATTTGGCACTGACAATGTTAGTATCTCACCACCATGTTGTGACTTGCCAGTACTGTCACGCCGCTGTCCTTTTGGATAGCAGTGTTGGTGAATTACCGTGAAGGCATATGCCTTACGAAGAACTCCCCTTGGGAGTTATCCTGGTAGAGCCGCCAATCCAGTTCGAGCCACGCGCGTAGAACCAACATCCAGTTGTCCGCACCGTCCAGCCAAACAGCCAAAGGCCGAGTTGTGCGGTTGTCCCAGGTGACTATGGCATCTCCCAATTCCGCTTCTTGCAGTACATCATGCTGGTCCACGGCCGGTGGTGCTACAGAAGGCGCGAAATCGAACCAAGCAACGCGGGGACCCCTTGGTAAGAAGGGAAACCAAAAGTCCACCCGGCTTTTTGGTGTTTGGACTGGGTTTCCATGGGCAATTCGTTGACTCCAACCGTCCTAAGCCTTTGCATTTAGTAGGGCTTGGGAGCTGCTCCTATGACGGGTTCTGAAATGAATATGGGTGGGAGATAAGGAACCGGGGCCGAATCAACACAGATTTCCCATGATATTTGGAAAATAAATTAACCTTTCTGTATTGTCCGTGGCTCGCATCACAAACGCGGCAGAGTCCATGCAGTTCACATGCCATCATTGACGGAGCCCTGGCTGAGTGTTCAGAGTTGAGTAGAGTGGTTTCTCTGGTACATACCCAGGAGTCAAAGCGTTTGCTTGGAGCAACCCAGCTACTGCCGGTCACCCTGTTAATTCACAAGGACTCTGGTAGTTTTTCTTTGGTCCACTATTGCCCTTCCAGGGAATAATCCCATGCATGTATTCTTGGAGCATGTTGCCATGCATCCCTCACGGGACACAAGGACTTGCCCCAGCTGCCAAAGCCCCCTTTGCGTTCCTTCACTTGCAGACCTTCTCTTAAAGTTGTGCATCAAAAACTATTTTTGCCCATCGCAAATCGAAATCGACCTTTTGACTTTTCGTTTTCCAGGTTGAGTCTATGTTTAGGCAGAGCTCCAACAGATTAGGCGTCAAACATGTTCAGGTTCTTTGGGCTGGGCATCTGAGAAACGGTGTGTTGCCGATGGCAACCTGTCAAGTAGTTTTTGTTGCCGCTGAGCTTGTGCAAGTTGCCGTGACAGGATCGCGATCCTGGCCAACTACATGCCGCTCAGTCCTGCAGTTTGGGAGGTCCTGGTGTGGATGGTAGAAAACTAGAATTGGGCACGAAGGAGACGCCAGAAGAATACTTGCGAATCCTGCTTTGGGAATTGCCCAAGAGCGCATGGGTGAAAATCGCGCCACTAGGATCCACGGTTGTTTGGTTGGGATTGTTTCATGCTGGGCTCCTCACCACTGAGGAGGAAGACCGTATTGTCTTTCCTGACCACAACCGGAGGCTATGTTGCTTGCTGTGGTTTGCTTTCCTTTGCTGGGCCTAGAGTTAATCTGCTTTGTTCTCTTGCTTGATTGCTTGCATGTTTGCATGTTTCGTGTTGTTTGTTTGTTTGTTTGTTTGTTTGTTTGTTTGTTTGTGTGTTTGTGTGTTTGTGTGTTTGTGTGTTTGTGTGTTTGTTTGTTTGTGCTTGTTTGCTTTGCTTTGCTTTGCTTTGCTTTGCTTTGCTTTGCTTTGCTTTGCTTTGCTTTGCTTTGCTTTGCTTTGCTTTGCTTTGCTTTGCTTCTTTGTATGTATGTATGTTTGTTTGTTTGTTTGTTTGTTTTGTTTGTTTTGTTTGTTTTGTTTGTTTTGTTTGTGTTGTTTGTTTGTTTGTTTGTTCGTTCGGTCGTTCGTTTGTTTATTCGTTCGTTCGTTGGTCGTTTGTGTGTGTGTGTGTGTGTTGTCTTTTTTGGTTTGTTGGTTGGTTAGTTGGTTTGTTAGTTGGTTTGGCTTGCCTTGATTTGATTTTAGTTGTGTGTTTGTTTGTTTTGTTTGTTCGTTCGTTAGTCGTTTGTTTGTGCTGTTTTTGTTTGTTGGTTGGTTAGTTGGTTGGTTAGTTGGTTGGCTAGTTGGTTGGTTAGTTGGTTGGTTAGTTGGTTTGGCTTGCCTTAAATTGGTTTGAATGAGTTGTTTGTTTGTTTTGTTTGTTTGTATGTTTGTTTGTTGTGTTTTTCGTTTGTTTGTTCGTTCGGTCGTTCGTTAGTCGTTTGATTGTTTGTTTGTTTGTGTGTTTATTTATTTTTTATTTATGTGTTTGTTTGTTTGTTTGTTTGCTTGCTTGCTTGTTTGTTTGTTTGTTTGCTTGCTTGCTTGCTTGCTTGCTTGTTTGTTTGTTTGTTTGTTTGTTTGTGTGTGTGTGTTTGTTTGTTTGTTTGTTTGTTTGTTTGTTTGTTTGTTTGTTTGTTTGTTCTGCGTTGTGCGTTTGCTTTTAAGTTCACGCTGCAGTGAATGTGCAGTGTGAAGGCCGCGGGCACTTGTTTGGAAGTTTGCCTTTTTGCCGGAGTTCACCCGACTTTGGGGATGGAAGCTGAGAGTGTAAGCGGTCCTGGTAGCTAATATGGCTGTGGGTCAAGAAATGCGTCCCAAAATTGGTAATTGGAACCAAGGACTCAAATCTGCGGGCCCCTGGTGGTTCATTTTTGACATGGCGGCTCGTTTTGCTATACAGGGTGTATCCTAAATGAGTGATGCCCTTGATGGCTGAGGTTCTACAAGAACTTCGTGTGCGTCCTGCCGCAGTACTTTTTAGGCTCCTCAGCGCACTTCGGTTTGTCTTCCAAACCCTGTCGCCAGCTTTTTATACTTGGTGCAAGGTAGTAGAAGTCGTACATTGTTTGCGTCAAGTTGAAAGATCGGAAACGGAGGCTATACAGAGGTTGTTGGGTTGCTTTGGGTGCTCCATTTGTGGATTCCACCTGTTGATCTCTTTGTTTCAATCATCTTGGCACTCGTTTGGTAGTTTTTCAGGGATGGGTCCACAAATTGCGCATCCTAACTGTGTGTCTCGGGACGGGAGCATCGCCTGGAGGCCATGATCTGAGGCTTCGTTTGTATGAATGGAAGCTGCTGAGAAGGAGAAACAGTCGAGTGAGTTGTGCTTTTGTTTCCGGAAGAAGTTGCCCCCAAAGCAATGCATGGCAGGGGTGTCGCGCTCCCAATACCGGGCCATTCTCCACTACGTGTTCCAGGCCCCACAATTTTCCCATTGGGGTGGTGAGAAAGCAGAGGTGGACGCATGAGAAACAAGCAAGTGCCACACTGCCGTGGAAGGTGTTGCCACGGAAGCTCGCGCCAGTCGGGGTGGTACTGTCTTTACACCGAAAGGGTTCACTTGGCAATGGTCAAACTACCGAGCTCCCAGATGAAAAAAGGTTTCTTTGGGGATTTCTCAGATGGGTCAACAAAACTGTTTGTGCACACAACCCCTCACACATCTCGAAACTTGTGCGGAAATCTTCCCCTCGATTGCGCGGATGGATGAAGATTTCGCGCGTGGAAAACCTTTGAGAACAGTCGATATGTTTAACGGGAGGGACACGACATTGTGAGAACATAGAAAGACCAGAGCTTAGAGGCACCTGATTCGCACGATCAGGGTAGCGACTCAGCGGGAGCTATGAAGACCTAGAATTCAAGACTCCCTGCTGGATGGTGGACAAAGCAACCCAGTCAAACCCCTCTGGGTTCTGCAGGGACAACCTTACTTAGCCACCTGGCACATTGCAAAAGATACGCTGCGCGAGATACGAGAAGCATCGGTGGCTTGTCCAACTCGAGCAAAAGCACCGTCAGGGGTGTGTATGTGTGTGTCTGTGTGTGTGTGCGCGCATGTGTGTTTGTGTTGTGTTTGCGCGTGCGTTTGTGTGTGCGCGCGCGCGTGCGTGTTTGTGTTTGTGTCTTTCCTTTTCTTAGTGTTTCTGTTTCTGCGCTTGTTTCTAATTGGTTGTCGTTGTGGGTGTGTGGGTGCGGGTTTGCATGTGTTTGTTGGGGGTGCCCTTTTGGGTTGGTTTGAAGGACAACCAAGCCTAGTTCTCTTGGGCGGGCTTCCGCCTTATGGAGACAAACCTATATAAGGACAGACCCCAACCATTGCCAATGAGCTCCCTGTTCACCCAAGGTGCCGTCTCCGGCTTTTCTGGGCAGAAGCTCTACAACGACATCTTGTACCAGTTCTACAACGCGCCCCACATGGGTATGCAATGGAAAGGGAATTTGCAACTTCAATGGGTGTTTCAACCGGAATCTGGGCTCAACAACCGGCAGCTGCCATTGGTTTCCAAAGTCGGGCAATTTTAGTCTTTGTTTTTCCCCTTAAAGCCCTTTCTTTGGCCTTAAGAAAACCTCCTGATTTTTTTTCTGGTCATTCTCTTGGACTCTTGGCCTTGAACTGATGGCACCCCGGGAAACGGAGAAGCATGATATATTCCAAAAAAAAAACACGTTGCGTGTTTGGGGGCATCTCTTCTTTGACTCGTTTTGGCGGGGATGCGTGATTGGAGATTCGGGTGAACCCTGGTTTTACATCTTGGGGTCCCCTTTCAACCATCCCTTTCATTGCCCTTCGGTAAAGGGCAGTGAGCAAGGAAAGGCTTCATCGGTCCTAGTGTGCTTGTCGAGGGTTTTCGCTCACCAACATGAAGAACCATGACTCAGCATTTCCAACAGATGGTGCATTTGGGCGGGACGACGATCGGAAACTCACTGACCTTCAAGCACAAACAGGGACCCACAGATTCGTTGAGTCGGATTCGATTCTGTTTGAACCGAGGTGTGCTTCACCTTCGTGCCCATCATGGTGTGACCTGCCGAAAGAAGTTAATGTGTCTAGGTGGGTGGGTGGGTGGGCGGGTGGTGGTCTTGGTTTAAAGGGGAACCGTAGAAGTGCCACACCTTGCCGTGGACAAACCTCTTCAGCTTGAACTACTGGCCAGCTGGTGCGCGGCCAGAAGAAGGCCAGCGGCTGGCAAGTCCAAGTTTGTTAGCCTGGGGCATACCAGGGCTGTAGCAAACCCTGGAGGTCAGACCAGTGCTTTCCCCAAGCGCTACCCTTAGTCCATGCGGGAGGCAGGCAGGAGTCATCGCTGCCTGAGGTTTGCAGTCCTGGATCAGGACGTGCCGAAGAAGGCCAGTGGGAAGGGACCTTTCCTGGTAGCATAGAGGAAGGAAACAGCCGGGAGAAGCAGTGAGAGTGTCCGTTTCGAGGGTCCTTCCGTGTAGAACATGTGTGCATATACACATGTACATATATGTATATGTATGTACACGTTTGGATATATATATATATATATACCCGTATATCGATGGTGAGGGTGCCCTTCTCGAAATAATTGGCAAGGACATTTCTCTGGAAAGCCATCCATTTTGCGAATCCAGGATGGATATTGGGCGGTACCTCCCATGGACAAATCATGCGGCGAGAGTTTCAGGCTTGCGCGGCCACTGGTGGATAGGGTGTCAGACATCCTTGCAAAGCACGGAGGTCACTGAGGCAAGACTCAAGCAATCACATGGTTTGAAGAGGTCCTTTGTCCAGACTTGTGCACTGTTTCGTTTGAAGATCTTTCGTCCAGGACGTACGACACACGTTTGCTTTTACTGGAGCCCCATCGTTGCGCATCAGCGAGAAGCCATTTCGACATGGCTCTTGCAAGGCGTCGTTGAAGTACCCGGAGCTTTACATCGCGGGCAAAGAGCGGATGTACATGACGCCTGACCAGAGGGGTATGTGGGAGGCATATGGGCGGTCGGTTTGGATGTGCAGGTAGCTTGTGGTCACACGATGAACAAAAGTCAACATGCAGCTCGTTGCCGGAAATGTGTTAAGGGGACAAGATGCCGTAAAGAGATAGGAGTTGCTCGACAATTTCTCATGTTATTTGGGAAGACTCTGATTCTTGACCGCGGCTCAGATGTGGTCGTTACCCTTCAAAAGAGCATGTGAGTGCAGAGGGCTCTACGAGGACCGCCCGTCGGAAAGGATCTTTTCAGTTCTCTGTGTGTTGGAAGGCATGAAGCGCCTGGTGGGCTTTTCACATCCGTCATCACGAGACGGATTTGTTGACTGTGTCTCTTTTTCGGGGAGTTCTTGTTCTTGGGAAAGGGAAGCCCAAAGGGCACTAATGTTTGGTTTTGTTTCTTCTTCTTTGCTTCTTCTGCGGTTTGAGAGGTCAAGGTATGGACAGACTTGTACCGAGACCCCGAGGGGTGCTCAAAAAGGCCGGGCCCCGGGCGAATAGGCGCAAACTAGGGTCACTAGCGAATCCCCATTGTGGAATGGCCAAAAGGACCCCAGCCTGGATCATGGGAAACATCCATTGCCAGTGTTCAATGCTTCTCAAAGGTTTGCAACTGTTCCTTTCCCCACTTGCCGAACCTTTTTTTGCTTAGAAAAAGCACACAAAAAGCATAGGGCCCTTCAGTGCAGGGAGTGGCCCATTCAAAGGTGGCAAGACCTGCCACCTGAAAGCGGTTGGCCATGGGACTGCAGGCTTGCCACCCCAGACTCGGAATGCAATTTGTTGTTACCCGATTTGGGGCAAGTTCTGGCCCGGTTGGCTTTTGGTTTGAGGATTGCACAGATTAGGACTCAGTTTAACCTACCCAGCAACAGTATCTCCCAAGTCTCCTACACCTTAGGTTTCAAATATGTAACTTTCTAAGTTGTCTGGACGCACTCTTGGGAGGACGGTTTGAGTCATCAAAGGTGCAGACTTTCTGCCAATCAATTCAAGTGAGACAAGGTGTCGCAGAATGAAACTAAACACGCCGAAGTCTGGAAATGAGTCTGACATCCCTTGTGTTTCGTCCTTGCCACTCTTTGGCGGAATGCTCATGGCTGGCTTGGATGCGAATTCGAACCATGGCTTTCTTTGTACGTAAATAGAGTCTTCATTCGACCCTCAATTTACTGGCAGAGCTTTTTGTAGGTTTCTTCAGCATCGGTCAGTTCACAAATGAGGTTCGGTCAAATATCATCCATTTGGAGGCCATGAGACCCCGTTGGCTGACTCGTTTCCGATGTGCTGTATTGTACCTGCTGATCTTCACCGCTCTTTTTGGGGCTCGAAAGCCAACTTCAGTTGCTGCTTGCGCCGTCGCGGCCCAGGAATGTGCAAGTATCGCTTGGTTGGATTGCCAGTGGCGTTCCTTGGCAGCCAGCGGAGTTTGTTTGGGTTTGTCCCTTGAAACGCCAACCAACCAACAAGCGTTTTTCTCCACGGCCAATTGGATGATGTGCACAGAAAATCAGAGGTCCCTGATTACGAAAACCACCCATCAGGCTGTGGGTCCCGTTCCTTTTGTGGTCGAACCTTAAAAAAGCCTCCGCCCAGGAGCACGAGAGGAATTCTACTTGCAAAGAGTTGTCCTCCTGGTGGTTTCCCCAACAGCCAGAAGCGCGTCCCCAAACTTAGGCGAGGTCCAACATATTATATTGCATCCAACCGCCAAGATGATCCTGGGCCGACATTTGTCGGAAAGACTTGCCGGCAAAAGCTCGGTGCGGTTCAGCTGGATGGGTAAGCTACTGCTGTCTAGCGAGTGCACCAGGTGTGTGGTCCCAAAGCCCAAGTTGGCCAGACTTTCCTGAAATTGAATCAGCTCTGAACGAAACCCATCAGAAGAGTTCCAGTTTGACCTAAATGTAAGAGTTGAAGCGAGAATCTCACGATTCCTGAGAGTTGAAGAGACACACCTTTCGTGGCTCTCGGCAGAGACATTGTGAAAAAGTAAGTGAGCATGCAATGTAGGGGCCCCGGACCCTGGTGTTTGATTTTACTTCCCTTTAAGCCAAGCCTCAAAAAGGGTGCCGATTCTCAAAATTGTCACACACACACACATGTGCATGGGATTTCCGTACCCCAGCGAACATCCCAATCCCCACTAAAATAGACCAAAATGGCCGGTGCACCTACCCCAAAATGGTACCATTGGTTTTGACCCACGGCCACATTTGTTCCTTTGGTGTCTCCCAAGGCGGTTGGTCCAAAGACGCGGCCCTACCACTCCGTACGTCTTCCACGCCAGGTTTGGCATGGCCTCGTGTGCTTCTTCATCCCGTACCTGGCCCGGCGCCCAGCCGGAGCGCTGCAAGGGCCATTGCTGGGTCTAATTTTGCCCCCTGTTTATTCATATGGGGGTCCCTGGTTTAGTGGGGATTTATCACTTTTGGAGGGGAACCCCCTTTTTACTAAACAGGAGTTTAATAATCCGGGGTCAACATTACCTAAAAGGAACCCTGAGGCCCTTTTCATGTTGACTTTTCCATTGTTTGGGTGAAATATGTGGAACGTGGGCAAACTGGTTAGCATGGTGCTCCCATCTTGCTCTTCGGCATTCCAACGTCTTTGTCCTGCGAGTTTCCCGCGCGCCGGCCCAAAATTTCCGTGGCGGCTGCGGTAACTGGATTTGGGGCAAAGAGTTGGAGGCCCATTGGGTTGGAGTTTCTGCCTTTGAGACATACGCACGCATGCGCGCGCATTCACGCACATGTGGGATCCTCTACCTCGCAGCGTTAGGACCGTGAACGGACGGAGTCGTGCCTCAATTTGGGCTTACGGGCTGCAGATGGGTTTGTCTCAAACAGGGAAGCCCAAGGCCCAAAGTGGGTGGTTTTTGCTGAAGTTTCTCTGCAACGAGAAGCATGGAAGTCTGCGAAAGAGACACCCCAAATGCAGAAAACCTACATACTTGAGACTTCAGACCAGCTCATTCCGCGAGGTGATGTCCAACGGGAACATCACCCACGAGGATGGCAAGGCGCCCCCAGTGCTCCCAAACCCCAAAAAAACAGCTGTGGTCCTAAAAAGGGTGCTCGGCCTGCCTTTGTGGCCCAGCATCCAACAATTTTGCACTTTCATGCGGTGTGGCGATGTTTGCCTTGAGGACTGGAGCTGTTGCCCTTCCACTTGGCACAAGTTGTAAAGAGTGACCGAGAAGCGCGAAACCATTGCGCCGATGCAAGGGTCAAGGCCCAGTTAAGCATTCGGGGCAGGAAGTCGCGTCATAAGACAAGGCAAAGCGACCTGAAGCCTGAGGGGGCCCTCGGACTCGCCTGCTCTAGGACACTTAGACCTTCCCTTTGAAGCATCCCGGTCAACCCAGGTTCCCCAAGCTCCGGAGATGCCCATCGCCCCAGGTTTGGATGGCCTCAGAACTTTGGTTGATCGCGGTGGCTCGTTTTTTTTTTTGTTTTTTTCCCCCGTGTCGGCTAAAGACTAGCATCAGGCGGGTGCTCAATTCACCCACGAGCAAACTGCGAGGGGCCGAGCACTTCGTTCTTTCCAGCCCGCTGGTTGGCAAGGGGCTGGGAATCCATCGGTACCGCAGCCTTGGCCGCAGGCCAATGACATTTGGCTGGTGGGCTCAGTAGTCTTCTTCCTGGTGTGTCTCGTCACCAACCTCTCTGTACTGCTCGAGCCCCTCGGTTCCAGCACGCTGGAGTTGCTTCTGTGTACGCCTGTGTCTTTGTGTGTTTGGGCGCGCCTTGGGACCGGCTTTGTTGGGATGTGCTCTGTTGGGATAAGTATGTTGTGTTGTGCTGGGATTGGCTGAGATGTGTTGGGACGCGTGTTTAAGTTGACTGGGTTGTGTTGTGTCGGGTTGGAATTGACTGGCCTGCGGGTTGCGTTGGGTGGTGATGTGGTCTGTCGTGATATAAAGTGTTGTGCCATGTTGTGTTGGGATTGTTGTATTGTGGTGTACTGTGTTGTGTTGTGTCGTGTTGCCATGCTTATCACGAATCGATTCCATTCTGGCGAGACCTGGCACAAGCCCACTGCCTGAACTTGCTTTTAGGAGACTTTGCTAGCTTTCGCCAACTTTGGCAGCTTAAACCAAAAAGCACCTTTTGGGCCAACTCAAAGTGAGCTTGGGATGGAAGAGGGAGCAGGTTTGGGAACTCCGGTGAGGGGTCAAACAGGGTGGTTAAGACTTTCGGGTTGACCCGAAGGGCCATGGCCAGGACGCAAATCTGGCAAGGGTTTCCTTTTTGCTTCCCTTTGTATACCCTCCGAAAAGGGGTTCCCTCGTTTTCGGACATGTGGTGTTCCTTCTGGTTTCTTTTAACGCAACGACGTAAAACCGTGTACCGAGCCTCACAAACAAAAAGCAAGCCGATGGTACTGAGGACCTGCTACCTAAATTGGCGCCTTGGCTTGCTCCCAGCGTGGGATGTTCTTTGGGCTGCCTCGAGGGTTCGACGCCTTGGGAAGCGCTAATGGTCTCGGACCACTGTTGCAAGTGCTGAACAGGTATCCTCTATGTGCAGTTCAACTGATTGAAGAACAAACAAGCTGCTAATTGGATTGACTCATCGCATGGCTGAAGAGATTCAACATTGTTTTGTATGTTTTGTTGATTCATCGGAATCATTTCCACTGAGGATTGCCAGGGGGTCCATGGTTTTCCCAGTTTTGACCGGAAGGTCACAACTGTTGCAAGGCAGCATATTTGTTGCTTATCATTCACTCCCCAATACCCTAGTCCGATGAGTGTGTCGCCCTCCCCAAATGCAGCTTGGCCCACACGCAGCATACTCCACTGCAATGGTAGTCATGTACCCCTACAGTACAGTACTTATAGGACAAAGCGGAGACCCGGGGGAAGAGAGGACTTGTGCCAGACTCCCTTCATAGGTGCGGCAAGATGGGGTTCGGGATTCCCGGGCGTGTCTCTCTTGGGTTCAGCACTAAGTTTTAAGAAAGTTCTCAGTTCCCACGCGTTCTTGTGGGAAGATTGGGGTAACAGCTACTTTTGGAGGACGATCCACGAAAGTGAGACTGCGAGATGAATTCGGACAGCAAAGACAAAACAGGCTGCCTGGAATCACAATCTAAAGGAACAGATCTGGCGCGTGCAGCTCTGCGAGTGCTTGGTCTATTTCTCCCAGGCCTGTTTGTGGACCTTGGGTTCAAAGCATGGCGCCCAACATCTAGAATCAAAACCCATGCGCAAGATTGGGGCATATCAATCCACAAGCTCTGGTGATATGCCCAACAGCATGAGGCACATCTGCGCGCACTCGGAACTGGGCCCCCAGGACCCTCCTTGGAACCGCCGCGTGCATCCCCAGAACCATCCTCAGAACCCTACCGCAGAGGCGCCCCCGCTCACCCAGCAGCCTGGCTGGGCAAAGACCCCATGGCATTCAGCGAAAAGCGTCACCCTTTTCGGTCCCAGACGTTTTCTCCTTTTCCAGGGCTCCCTATATTTCTGATTTTGGTGGGTTTGAGATATCGCCTTTTGGGCCAATTTAAAATGACCGGCCTTTTGGTGGAGTGATGTTTAATTTGGGAAGTATAGGGCGCCCGGTTTTCCTTTGGGTTTCTCCGGCCTAGGATCGTGGCGCTGGGCATGTCATTGTCACTGCTGGCGTGGGTCCTCTTCCAAGGGCACCTCGGACGTACGAAAGAGAGGAGACCGTTGGGTTCACCGATTCGGGGGAAAGAGCTCACCATGTGTTCAATCCTGTACTTGGGGATCCACTTCTTATTTCAGGCGATTGCTTTTTCCGGAAAGCTTGTTTCCCGGGAAAGCGCGAAGCTCCGCGATGTGTTTTGGGTCTGTGGTGTTGATCACTTTCGGGCATTTCTGCGGGTTGGAAGGAGACACCTATATTTGGGGGTATCCAGAACCCTTGGCTGCCGCTTAAGCGGAACAAAAAGACATTGACAGGTTTTTTGATGGATCCCCGGATGTCCGCTGATATCCGCCACATAGAGGCCATGTTGCACGCAAAGAACCAACGCGACATCGTGAAGAAGATGGTTGCGAAAAACGAATCTAAGTCCACTCCGACCTCCTTTCAATTTGGCACACGGCTTCAAGGCTATATCTTGGTCAGGTTAGTTTCAAGGGAAAACAGGAGGCTCTTCTAAAGGGAAAACAAACGGTTTGTGTGATTGGAACAGCAACAGCTTCGTTCAAATGGAAACCCACAGGCTCCTTCAAATCAACGGGCTGGCTTGGCCTGGGATGTGAACCCCGGGGAATCCGACGCCAACGACAGGGGGGCACTGCGCCTTACTCCCCAATGACATTCACCCACCTTTTTCGGCCAATCCACCTGTGACCGGCTGGAATGGTTCAACTTGAATTGAAATTTGATGATCTCTTGCCGGGCTCATATTCACCAATTTGAAGCAATGGGAAAGAAACCATTATTTGTCGGTATATACAGGAGAATCTCATCATATTTGGGTTTCTTAGGTGGTGCCTACCAGGAATTTTCGTCCATCCACAGCATTGACCTCCCTTTTGCTTTAGAGAAGCTGCTGGGCATAGCTTTCATGGATCTAGGGGTTGATTCCCCATTTTTTTCAACGATATTTCTTTTCAAAAACCAGCTGTTTCCCCATGGTTTTGGGTGGTTTTTAGAAAGAAGGATGCCTGGAAAGCATGGGGAAGGTACTTTGGGGTTGCGTCAAAACCAGGCACTCTTGGAGGGGTGCTTCTTTGAGCAAACCAGCACCAAGACAAACCATTTGAAGGAACACACATGCGGGTTGCATGGGTAGGGGTCAAAAATAGGAGTCCCCATTCCCTTGGACGTCTCTGAGGTACATCTCCGGGCTGCACGGGGTGGTGGTCACCTCTGAGTTCTACGGCTCCATGCAGCGACTTCTAGGCCGTGGCAAGCAGATCCGAACAGAAGGGCCCCCAACATGAGGCTCACGTGTTTCAGAGCCATTTAGGGGTTGCCATTGGTGAGTCGTGCCCTAGACATTCACGTTTGTTGAACTTGTCTTGGTTACTTTTGCGTAGTGTTGCCTGAAGCCAAAACAGACTTTTGACGCGATTGATCCTTTGTTTGGTGGTGCCAAACAGACCTTGAGGGCCATTTTATGCCATTTTTCAGGTCTTCCGACCCTTTTCATGGGCTGGGCTTCCGTTTTTCAGGGCCGAAAAGGGGATGGAGCCCGAGGTGCTTAGAATCATGGATCCGGCTACCCGGCAGGTGAGCACCCGAGAGAAACCAAAGGACAACGACCCATTTTGGGCGTGTACGTTCAATGTTGGACACAAAGCCTCGCGGTTTTCCCTAGGAATCCGTGCAAGGGCTTACCAAGAGACTCCCCACGTGATTTATAGTGGACCCAACCAAAACAAGATGACGCAATGAGGCGATGGGGCGAATGAAAGCGCGACCGCAACAGAAAGCTTATGATGAATATTTTATTTTATTTCTTGGGGGGTTCTTGGGTGCATTATTGTGATGCATCGTGTTTTGAACATCGAAGGAAAATCTAGCCAGGGGACACCACCATATAAAACCTCAAGGAACAACTGTCCGATCAGCTACACTACTGGGAGCTGATTCACTCACAAAGGGAAAGGGAGACTCAGATGGCCCTTGGCCGTCCCAAGCATGCCTGTTGGATCATATGGACAGCTGGCAGGTGTGTCTCCTCTCCGTGTAAAAAGAAACACGTGGTACCCTGACGCAAGATAGCATGGACCCCACGCATCTATATTTGAGCAGGAATCTTGTTTTGGGGTTTCAGTTCCGGATGCTATGTGAATGTGCAGAGGCCTTACTTAGATGGGCAACCACTCTCAAAGACCACTCCCCCAAGTGTGAAGGCCTTATGTGTCCAAATTCAGCTGAAAATACGGCCAGTCAAGCCCCTAACCATTGGAGTTCTTTTGGGATGGTAGAGTCCGTGACTTTCGCGGTTGGGTTTGCCTGAAACGGTGAATACACGATGGAAGATATGGTAACCAACCGCTTCTCCTGCGTATTTGTTTGCTTTGGTTTCCCAACTGCTTCCTACCGAACTGGTTGGCTCGCAGGCTCACAGTGTCTTCACTGACTGACCAACCGACCGACCGACCGACTGACTGTTGAAGGTGGAGTCAAAAAGGTGTGGTTCCCCGAAAGTGAAGGATCCCCTCTAAAGTGGGACACACACACACACACACACGCACGCAAACACACATCTCTGTTATGAAGCCTCCTCTTTACTCCCTTGCAAATTCAACTCCCACAACGCGCCAAAACGAGCATCGACCAATGGCTCTTGGGGTTCCAAGTTTCATTTGGGGAGTCCCGGCATGGCTCGGTCGAACCCTGCGGCTCATCGGCCAGGCTGCCCCATGATTTATCTCATCGTCTTGACGAGCACCGCGATGGCCTTGATGGCGGATATCCACGCCAAAGGCCGGCCGGGGGCGGGGAGGGGGGGGGCGGGGGAAGGGGGCTGGGGGTGATCACTTGCGACGCCGATTTGGGAAGACGAGCCCTTTGGGGCTTCCTGAATTCCAGCTGGTGAATTCTAGTGAGTGCAGCACCGTATACGCGGCTGTGGATTCCCGAAATGGTGCACAGAAACGATTTTGGTTTGCCTGGTGTGAACACCCGAAGGGGAGGCCGCCCTTTTTTTTCGGCAACACGAGAGATGCGTTCTTCTTGAGTTGCCGATGAAATCAAAGGGAACAGGAGCGCGGCAACGGCAGGCCATGTGAAACGGCGGCCTGAGTGAAATCAACACGTGGTGCTCATCCAAGGGAAGGGGAGATGTTCGATTTTTCACCGATCGGGCAACTGAGAAGAGGAGAATATCGAGGAAGTCCCGTTTTCACGAGTTCTTCCTGGACGACAACTCACCTCCCGGGATTCCTGATGGAGCAGTCTGGAACAATTGTTTGGTCAGTTTAGCCATGTTTGAACGTGCAGCTATCCCAACACAGTCTTCAGAGTAATTCGTTCCCCCTAATAAATACGCCCCCCCAATGAATAAAATCGACTAGGGGCCGCATAATATTTATGACAAGGGTGTATTTCGGCCCCAGAGCGTTCTGATAGGGTCCTCGGCCAGATGGGGTCCCCCCCTCCCTTTCCGGCTATTTCCCAGTAAGGAATTCAACGTCATGTTTGTTGGATTTGCATGTTGGTTCAGTATGTGTGTAGTATTGGTTCTGAAATGTTCTGAATGTCCACCAGTAAGACTGGAGCTGGGGTCGGCGGGCAAGTTGCAGGTTGGTTTAGTATTGGCTAATTTCGACTTGGTATTAGGAGATTTGGGTTCTGGGATAAAGTCATATGAGTCGTATTAATTAATGCTGCATTTATTAGGGGAGAGATAACTTGCTTTCTCTGGATCTTTGGATGTTTGACAGTTTGACCAGCGCAAGGGTTCGCGCAGAGAGCCATCACCATGACCCACACCAGCTCTTAAAATATCGAGAGTGAATGTGGGCACGGCTTTAGTGCTGACCGAGATTCCTCTCTCACTTTCAACTAAGTAGTTACTAGTAGTTCCCTCTTTTTCATCGTGTTTAGATTACATTCATTGTGTATAGAGTCATTTAGTTTGAACATATAGTATGTGGTTCTTCGTTCTTGCGAATATGAAGGAATTTCACCGTGCCCAACGCTTCCCCTTTGCTTGGAGTCCATGCGGCCTTGCCTGGCTGACTCAAGGACGTTTGACACATGAGGCTCAGAGGGTCGTTTGCTCGGCAGGGAATTGGCTAGTTGGTATTTCCTTAGCCAGCAGTGGAGGGTAGATTCAGGGTTTACCTTTTGACTTGCCGTTCGGAGAATTGATCGTCACTCTTCAGAGCTTTGCACTTTTCGGGAGGGGGCGAGGGGGGGGGGTCAAAGGGTAAACCCTTGCTCGAACGAGGAACAGTCAGTCCCGCATCGCGAGTTGTCCTTCAGGCATCAAGTGCTCCTTTTTCCCGAGCATTCTGCACCAGGCAGGTTGCAGGGCTGAGCGACGGGCTTGCATTGTGCTTGCCAAGGTTGTTCCTAATTGGAAATCCAGTTGCAACCAGCCCACAAGTTTGGTTTTCTTTGGATGGGAGTCCCGACGTCAATCAAAAGAGGACTGTCTCGTCCTGAGAGGGGAGGTTCCCTTAACCTTTCAATCGAGCTGAGAAGGTCAGGGTCAATGCGATTGCCCTGCGTTATGACCCCGTTTCTTGGGGATTAGAATGAGCTCGCCGAATCAATCGAGCTCTGTGGAGATTCATTGGCTGGAAGAAACCCGAGTTCCTCGCCTGGAAACTAAAGCAATTGTTCAGAGACTTACCATGTGGTTGTTTTTGTTTACAACATAACATAAAAGTTTTACAGGGTCTTACAATCAAGCGCTAGGGGTTGTATAGGGTCTCTATTTGTTTTATGTAAGCAACACAAACACAATGTAAGCAAGGGCCACTCGGCACTCGGCCAAGGTTCAAGCCAAGGTGCTGGCCGAACGCAGCTCCAGCGCGGGCCCCCAGCTGGGCAGTTGTGGCGGGGCCCGAGAATGGGTTCCATTGGTTGCAAGCAAATTAGAACTCCAAGCGCAAAGCAATGAATCAAATCCCGGTTGCCCACTTGCAAACCTAGGGATGGATAAACAAACCTAGGGATGGTGGTGTTCCTTTGGGTTTCCTGAGGCTTGTAGAGTTTTCAAAGGGGGTCTCTAGTTTTGCCTGGTTTCGAAATGAAGTTGAGGTTGGAGAGGAGACCAACCATTGTCAGAAGTCCATGGGATTTGAAACCGCCATCAGGTTTTATATCTTTCTCAAACCTCATGGCGGTTCCATGGCTGATTTTGGCATGGGCAAGTGAGAACTTCCAGCCCGCGAAGCAGGCGTCACAACAAAGGCCCCACTTTCTGCAAGTGGCATGCCCAAGACCTGTTTTGCCACAGCCATGTCCTTTTAAGTAGACAAGATGCAAATGCAAACAGCTCCGTGCAAGCACTGTTCGCTTTAATCGCTCCGCATCCCCCACGAAATGCCTTGGGTGTTGACCTTTTGGGTTTCCCCTGTTACGGCCTTTTTGCAACGAGGCTCCAAAGGTTGCTTGTGAGGCAGCGGGGATTTGTTCAAGCAGCGAGACGAGGGCAAAACAGGTCAGCTTCCTATGTCCAGGATCGGTTAAGTGAGAAAGAGGCTCGAATTTGCGGCATGGTCAACCGAAGTGTCCTACCCTCAGCGCACATCCCCGACAAAAGCACCATAAACACCCGTTGTCAGGTACACGCTAAGGCAATGTGTCTCACTCTCTGAGATGTGCGAACGTGTCACAGTTTGACCCTTCCAAACCCTTCGTTGTGCGATGGAGTCTTTGCACAAGACCACCCTGAACAGACATTGAACCACGATCAAAACCCGGGTAGATAAAGGGTAGGAAGGAACAATCCCAACCATAAACAATGTGGCCGCCCTTTAAACTATTCACCCGGTTTTGGTTTTGGCCCCTTTGTGATTCTGACTCAACTGGCTTTACAAGTTGCATGCAAGGAAAGCAACTCAACAAAGATGGCATACTCCCCATCTCACGGCACTGCTTGGGAAACATAGCACATTGGAAGGATATGTTGCCAGGATTCAAGTATGCCATACGTAGAGTGTCAAGCCCGTCAATCTTACGCATGATGGGGAGCTACTTCTACAACGCCCACTCGAGAAAGTTGATACCGTATGGCGTTTGGCCATTGTCCAGACAAATTCCCAAGAGAGTGTTCCATGACTTGGGCAGACTTTGTTGAATCCACTAACCCCGTCCCCTTTCAGAGCCAAAAGTTGGTTTGAATGGTGGCTTCAACCCTGCTCATGCTGGAAGGATCTGAGCACTTCCAACGAGCAGCTTTGATGGCTTGACTCAAACGCCCTCAGCACGTTTTGGCGTTGAGGTTTTGTGGGATGACGAACAGGACAAAAGGCCAAACGGAAGCCAGCCACTGGAAGTGGATCCTGGTGCTCAACATGGTGGTCGCACTTGCGTCGGTACTTAAAAGAAAGCCAACAGGAAACCCACCATGTCATGCGGCCTATGTATTTTGAAACATACCCAGATCCAGGAAGATTGCCCAGTCTGAAAGAAAATATATTTGGATTCTTGAGTTGCTTCTCCCTCACATTCATAGGCTTCAATTGACGTCCGTCTCCAAGGACACTTGGAAGGGGCCGTGCGTGAAATGGTGGGTTTCCTCTATGCCCTGAAGCCAAGTGACAAGACCCAAAAGTTGACACTTGGGTTCTTGAATCATGGTTGTTGTTGGGTAACATTTGAATCATTTTTGCTTGCTGTTTAGTGGTTGACATCCAACCACTTAGCTGCTACAATTTGAGCATTATTGCTTCCCAAACCCAACGTCAACCAAGGAATCGCCAAAGGGGACGGAGTTGGACCCCGGAAGGCCATGGTGGCTGACGCTCAGGCGCCCGATCCTGAGCCCCGAACGGGGCGACTGGCCGAGCCGGGACCCGCTTCAAACGAATCGGGAGGCCCGGGACTTCGCCTCTGGGGGAAAGCCTTGGCAAGCCAAGCTGGAGGGTATTTCCCCTGTTGAGCCACGCCTGGGACCAGTGCGTTTCACCGAAGAAGAGTAGCGCATGTACTGCGTGATTGATCCGCGATGAGCGAACCGGACGCAAAGTGCCCGTGGACCTTTCAAAGATGGGCTTTGCCGACCCCCAACAGTGGGTCCATTTCCCGTAGGGTCAACCAGGAGACCTCACTCCCCAAGTCTGACGGACCCGTCGCCTGAAAGGGGGGCATCCACGGCAATCCGGGCCGAACCCATCACGGAGTCGTTGCCTCAACGTCAGCTGGAAGCAGAGCTGGAAGGATGCCTTCGCCAGCCCAACAGATTTTACACGGAGGTGGGGTTGGCTGTAAGCCCCAAAAGGATCCCACATGTGGCTGCGTGCCCCGAGGAAATCCATTGATCGCTCCCTGTGCCCAGGTGAAATCAAGTGATCAGGTTCTCAGTCTTCAAATTGGGTAGGCCCCGTTGAATTGTGAAACGGAAACCACTTGGATATGGGAGCTCCAGGAAGTGGCATCCTTGATGAAACCTATTCTGGAATCATAAGATGGGTGCTAAATAGCCTACAACGACAAAGGATAGTTGATGCAATCCGCAAAGGGGTGAGTACGTATGAGATTTGCATGAATCGCCCCGTTTGCCAACGATTTGGGATCATACCGCTGCTTTTATTGGAACGTGCAACAAGCCAATGCCTGCTTGCAGTTGTCATGCCTCTAAGCAGGCAGCGCGTGAGCCAAAGCCAAAACTGGGGTGATAGCCAGGCTGAAATCCAAATCACCGGGTAAGCAAAGGCAAGTAGGAATTCCCAAGGTACTGCCTTGATTCGTTTTGCATAGACTTCTTGGTTTGTTTTGGTGACTCAAGTGGTGCTCCTTCTCATGTATCTCCGGCGAGAACCCCTGCAATGTGCGGAGCGAGTGGGTTAGAAAGACGGCATCGCGCTGTGCCTCGAGTCTTTGAGTTAGTCTCCGATGTTTGTTGGAAACCTGCTGGAGGCCTTATGTTCCTAAACTCCAAACGATGGCCGGTTGCCTGGAACTCTCTCCCGTTGTGTCCCAAAACTGGGAACCGCCAGAAATGGCTCATGTGTTTTGTTTGTTTTCCTCAACAAACACAACAAACACGAACACACATATATATATATATATATTTGTGTGCATGCATATAAACGGTAAAGCTAATGTTGGCAACATCCAATTGGCCCCACCCTGGTGGCAGTGACGGAGACTGCATGGTGGCCATAGATTGCTTCGAGTGGTTTTGTTGAAAGTCTGCTTGGAGCTGGAACGAAAGGCTCCTGGTGCGCTCATACCTTGTTTTGGGTGGCCATTTAATGCTCTTGTCTTGTCATGATGTGTTTCTTTCGTTGGACTCTTCACCTTTGAATAAGTCTACACCTTCATGGAAGCAAGGGCTGCAACTCTCAGAGAATGACAGGAGTTCGATGGGATTCCACCTTAAGCGGAGATGCCACGGCGAATTCGAGCTTGGCAACTGATCATGACTCTTCTTGAAGCTGTTTTTTTATCTTTTCAAGCCCGCCATCAACCCGTCATTTGTTTGCGCTGGGCGTCAGTTTTCTCACCCGATCCAAGCAGAAATCAAGACCTTGTTGACTGGAGGCTAGTGTTCCCAAGCGTCAAGGATGCGGCCGCCCCTTGTTTCTGTTTCATTTCGGGTCTATCGTCATGTTGGGTGTTTCCATTGGGTTAGCTATTTTTCATGTTAACTCGTGCGCGGACCCACGAATTGGCCGGCCCATCGATCTGGCCGGTTGGACACCAACTTTCAACCCGCAAAACAACAAGCATCAGCATTACGGGGGGGATGCCCTTTCCCTTTTGTTGCGGGGAGGGTTGGGTTTCCTTTGAAGTCAAACAACAAACACGGGGCTCCCTTCGTGCTCCTGGCCAGGTAAGTTTAGGCGAGGACTAGCGGGTTAGAAGTTAGACATGGCTGGAATGCTGGGTCTTCTAAAACAAGGAGCCCTTGTTCGGCTGGCTTGGAAAGGAAACTAAAAGGGCACCAATGTTGAGGGGTCCCTATTTCAGCGACACCCAAATGAATGTCCAAATACAGTGATTGGAGGGCGCTGTAATCTAAAGGAGGTTGCAACATCGATTCTATGTATGTGGGTGCGTCTTTTTAGGGGACCCCGCAAAATTGTGGTTTTCCTTTGGTTTCCCTTGCAACACCACCAAAAACGACCCCCCCTAAAAAAAACACCCCATGCGCGCGACATACCCACATGAGGTGCCGCCGGTGGTGGGTGCAGCGTGCTTCGGCTATGCCGCCTTTAGCATCAGAGGCGACTCGAAGATCTCGCCTTGGTCCTTCCCAGTTCGGCGAATTCCGCCCTTTGTGGTGGGCAACCCCCTCAGCCCCTTCCAATGTTCCATTTGCTGCAGGTGATGTGTTTATTTGCCTGTTTGTCTTTGCTTCAGAGACATATCGTCATAGCTTGTAAGTAGGTGACTTTTGGCACAAGCAGTTGGAAGCAAGCGGCCATGCTTCATGATGCCTTGAAGCGATTCACTGGGTTCCAGAATTCCCGTCCACATGTTTAGCAACACGTACTGTTTCCCTTTACAAGCGTCCACCAAAGAGTTAGCAAACGCGTGGAAGTGCACAGACCTCTTTGGAAGGACAAGTTGTGTCTTGGAAAGGAGGTCTCTGCACTTCCATGGTGGGACGGTCATGCCCCCCTTCGGTAAGTTCCCAGATACCATGACCCCCTTCGGCGAAGATGGCACCAGGAGCATCGCGTAACCACATCGGCCATGCAGAGCCGGGGCGATGCAAGCGAACGGATGCTTTCATTTGCCTGTGGGGAGGGCCCTCATTCACATTCCGTTGGGTCTTTGGATGTTTCTAGCGGGTTGCACTGCTGTTGCTTCTTGTTTTTAATCTTAGCACAAGAGAAGCGACCGCAAACTCAAACAGATGCCGAGAACGTGCTGAGAAATCCTGGCTTGCGAATGGCATGTTCGATTGGATAGTTTATATCATGTGAATGAGTAGCATCATGGGCTAGCTGAAGGGGCCGGACTGTGCTTCAACGGGCACAAGCAGGAGGAAGGTTATCACTTGCCCTTGGATCCGTAGTCCTCCTTGTCATGCCA